TAGAGACGGGGTTTCACCATGTTGACCAGGATGGTCTCGATCTCTTGACCTCGTGATCCACCCGCCTCGGCCTCCCAAAGTGCTGGGATTACAGGCTTGAGCCACCGTGCCCGGCCCTCATTGTTCATTTTTAAGATGAAAGTCTATTTGAAGCAAGCCATGCTGGTTTTCCATTTGCAGAAATAATGAAGTGTTTCCTTTTAAAATAAAGTTTAAGAAGTGAGTTGATCTCTGAACTATCTTCACAATATTTCTGTAAATCTGAAACTGTCCTAAGCTAAAAAGTTACTTGAAAAAAACCCAGGTTCATTTTTTTAAAAAACTTTTAGAGAAAATCGAATTGGTTAACGGGAAGTATGAAGTGAATGCGGCAAACGCTGCTTTCCTCCCAGCCCCGATCACCGGCTCACAGGAGAGGGCTGGGGGGTGCGGAGAGGGGAGAGGAGGAAGGGTGGGTGGCAGAGCCCAGAGCTCTTTGGGAGTGGGAGGAGGGTGTCTCCCAGGGTCCCTCCCACAGGTGTGACGGAAGTGACTTTAATGACAGGGAAAGGAAGGGATGATGAAATTCCCTGAGACAGCAACAGTGGGGAGCAGTGGCCATCCCTGGACCCACAGGCCAAGACAGGCAGCAGTCCTGGAGCCTGTGAGGGCCGAAGCAGTGGGAGAGGGCCGGTGGCCTTCAGTATAGGAACACCACTGGCTCAGCAGGGGTCCCGGAGTGAACCCGCCAGCCTCTTTCTCCGCCCACCCCCAGAGCTCCTGCTGCTCCTTCCTGCTGAAAGAACCCACCAGAGGCCAGAGGCCAGGGAGCTCCTGTGAGGTGTCAGTCCACATTGCAGAGGCAGAACGCAGCTGCAGGGCCAGCCGAGAGGACCCAGTCCTGGCACGTGGGGCCGGAACGGGGGACAGACGCTCCGCAGATCTGTGGGAGGAACCTGGAAGCCAGAGTCAGTTGCTGCGTGTCATACCTACTGTGTGCTGCGGGACGCGCCACTTCTCCTCCTGAGCCTTGGTGTCCTTATCTGTCCACTGGGGCAGCTGGCGGTTCCCCCCAGGAGTGCAGGGAAGCGGCCATGGGCCAATATAGCAATGAAGGGTGTGTGTAAGCCCTGGGCACACAGTAAGAACTGCTGGTCAAACAGAATACCATGTGCCCTTCCTAACAGAGGACAGAGCCCCTCCTGCCTCCTCATCATCACTGGTGGTGTGCTACGCTCTACCAACTCCCTCTCAGCCACTTTGGGGGCAGTAATGTCCCCCGCACAGGTCCGGCCACCACAGTTTCCTCAAACCAGGCCTCCTGCCTGCACCACCAGGACGCTCCTTGGTGACTCTAACCCTGCCACACACACCAAGTCTCACCTTGTCACCCCGTCAAGGTACAGAGGAGGAGCCCACGGTCCCAGGAGGGAAGTGACTAGTCCAAAGGGACTGCCGGGGCCGATTTGGTCAGAACACTGCGGGGAGGACGTCGCCGTGGAACTGGCCTGAGGGGCCTCCCCAGGAGGCAAGAGAACCCTGGTCAAGGCTGCTGGCTGCTTCCCCCACCCCCCCACCACCGCCGCCCCATTTGCTACCTAATAATACAGAGGGAGCCCTAGGAATTTTTGAAGAAAAGAATCATTCAAATCGAAGAAATAAATAAACACAGGCTTGCAGGAGCACAGGTGCTCTGGGGAGTTCCAGTGATTTCAATACCCCCCTTCTCTAATAGCACGCCTCACCCCCACTTCTTTACAAATAGCTGATGGCCTCTTGGTCCTGGGTAAAGAAACTGCAAAAGTACCTTCAAGCCTCCTCTTACTCCCATACCTCCCTTAGCCTAGCAGGGAAAGTCGTGGCTCCAATCCCTGCCTGTGCTGATTTGCTGTGTGGTCCTAAGCGCATGACTGCCCTCTCTGGGCTCAGTGTTTCCCGCCTGTGTAAAGGAATAATGGCCCTTCTCCTAGTCTCGTCCTGCCAGTCTAGGAGAAAACACTGGCCCCAGCCATTCTTCTCGCATGCGCTCTGTCTCTCTCTTCACACTGACAGTCCCACCATGCTCCAGTCTCAGTGAAGTTCCTGCCACTCCCCAAATATGTCACAGGAGTTAGGGGCGGGTGCGTCAATTGGATTTTGTTGTGTAATAAACCGCCTCCCAATTGTATCTGTTGGTTTAAAACAATAAGCATTTATGGTTCCATTGGGCAGTTGTGGTGATGTCACTGTGTTTATTGCTGCACCTGAGTCAGGACATCCCTTCCGTGACAGGCTGATTACACACTAGGACCCAGGTCTCCACGCTCCTCCCATATCTGTGCCCCTTGCAGTGTGACTTCACAGTTCCTCCCATCAAGTGGGTGGTGGGTATGCTATTTTCCTACCCCTCCATCTAGGCTGGCTTTATGACTTGTTTTGACCAACGGAATGCGGCAGTAGTGATGACAGGCTGGTTCTGAGCCTCAGCTGTAAGAGACCCTGCTTGCTTCTTTTCACCGTCCTGGCCCGTCACTGCTGCCATAAGAATGACTGGGCTTGGCTGCTGGAGAATGAGAGACCCCATAGAGGGGGGCCTCAGCCACCAAAGCCCAGGCCCACCCAGGCCTGAGAGCCCCCAGTCAACCAGGGTTACCAAATTGTCACAGTCTGCCCAGGATTAAGGTTTCTCGTGGGACATGTGTCTTTCGGGCCTATCACTGGGACAGTCCCAGGAAAACCAGGATGGTTGATCACCCTACAGCAGACCCACCTTTTGGCTCAGGTAGAGGAAAGAAGCCTGCTGAGATCAAAAGAACTGCCCTGCTGGCCTGTAAATGCTTATTGTTTTAAACAGACAACGCGTTTGAGAAGTGATTTGTCATACAGCAAAATCTTCCTGAGATGCCTTCCGCATCTCTGTGTGAGGGACTCAGAGTTACTGGCCATGACTGGGCAGGCTGTACATGGCACAACTACAGGGGGAGCCAGTCACAGAGAACACGTTGTGAAAGGCACTGCTTAGGACTGCTCAGGACCAAAGTCCTAGGTAAACTCAGCAAGGCTCTTAGTTCAATGTCACCTCCTCTGTGAAGCCTTCCCAGACTCCCCTGGATCTAATTTACTGGGGGAAAAGGAACTTCGTGTGCTAAAAAGAACCAAGGTTTTAGAGGCAGACAAGCTGCTGCTCACACACCAGGCCAGTCATCTGAACCTCACGCAGAGTGGGAATGGCGGCAGCTGCTGTTCTCGGGGTTGTGATGAGGAGAGAGCGCACGGACAGTGCCTGGCAGACGGTGCATGTTTCACAGAAGAGTGAAGCCCAGGCGTCTCCCCGCACAGCCCCAAACCCTCTCTGCTCCCACTGCTGCGGCTCCTTCCCCGGCTCCAAGACTTTCTTCCTCCACAAAACTCAGTCCCTTCGTCGCTGGCATCCCATCCCCAAGGCTTGTGCTACATTATGTATTGAGGCCAAAGGGACTTTCTCTTTTTTCACTTTAAAAAAATTATATAGTAAAATTTACCTTTTTCTTTTGATGTACAATCCTATGAATTCTAACTCATGTGCAAACGTGTGTAACCACCACCTTAATCAGAGCACAGAACAGCTCCATCACCCCAGGGGATTTTCTTTTCAAAATATGTCTTTTTTAATATTGCAATGTTGGCAGAGATAAGATACATACTTTGTGAAAAAAATTATGTAAAAGTATAAAAGTTACTCAGTAGGAACTGTGTCTCCCACTGCTGGTTACTCCTCAGAGGCAATTTGTAGTTTTTAGTTTTGACAATTGTATACATGTGTAACTATTCAAAAGAAGACATAGAACATTTCCATCATTCCAGAAGATTCCCTCATGTTTCCTCCTGGTCAGTCTCCACTCCCATCATCCTAGAGGCAACAACTGAAATTTTTCATCACAGACTTGTTTTGCTTGTTCTAAAATGTACCCTTCTAGAGCTATTTCATGCCTATACAAGCATAAGTATGTAGAACTATCCTGAACAGTTTCTATCACTGGAACCCTGTCTTGCTTTTTTGTCCTTGATGCATTTTGGAAATTGTTTTAGATCAGCAACAATTCTAGCCTACACACACGGTACTTAGCATACACCGGGCACCGATTTAAACGCTTTATGTAATTTGCGTATTTAATTTTCAGCACAGCTTTGAGGCAGGTGGCGTTATCGTTATTACTGCTGTTTCTGCTGTTATTTTTATTATCAGTGTTATTCTTACTAGTCCCATTTTAGAGATAGCAGAAACTGAGGCACAGAGAGATTAAGTGAAGGAACTGGCTCTAGGTCACACAATCAGTAAATGGCAGAGCTGGGGAGCCAGCCATCCTAGCTGCAGAGTCTGTGTTCTGAGGGACCACATGGAACTGCTTCGGTGTACTTGAAGCAACCTCAAGGAATTCCATTATATCAAGACAGTCATTTATTTAACCAGCATCCTCCTGATGGCTATTATTTGCCACTGTGAACAGGGCTGCAATAGATATCTCTGTCATTCATCTTTCTGGACATGTGGAAGTGTATCTGTTGAATTAATTCCTGGAAGCTGAATGCCTGGGTCACAGGGTGAGTGCAATTTTGTGTTTGATAGATATCGCCAGATTGTCTTCCCAAGAGTTATCAATTTATATTCCCATTAACAAAGCAGGAGAGAGCTTGCTGCCCTCTGCTCTTACCAACACAGGATATTATCAAAAATTTTTATCTGTATTATCTAGCTGGGGAAAATGGAAACTTCATGTCGTTTTCATTAGCATTTCTCTTACTGTGATTCAGGGGGACATCTTTTCATGTATTTGGAAGCCATTTGCATATACTTTCTGTGAGCCATCTGTCCATGTCCTGTGCCCATTTTTTCCTTGGGTTATTAATCTTAAAAAAAAAAGGTCTCTCTTTACATAATAGTTTATTCATTTTCTTTCCATTTTATTTATGGTATTTTCCCCCAATCAGATGTGGTTAATTTTAATTTTAGTGTGATCATATTTATCTTTTTTTCTTTTTTTTATAGCTTCTGGGTTTGAATGATTTTGAGAAAGGCCTTCGCCTTTCCAAACAAAGAACAACAAAAGAATGAAATATGTTTGCTTCAGTACTTTCATGGTTTCATTTATTTATCTTTCAGTCTTTGATCCATCGAAAATAAATGTTGGTGTAAGAAGTGATACACGGTTTCAACCTACTTTTTTCCAGTTACCCAAGTATCATTATTAAATGATCCATTTTTACCCACTTATTAGAAAAACTACATTCTCGTAGGGTTTTGTATCTAATTCTGGATCCTTTATTTCTTGTGTCATCTTCCTAGCTATTCTTTTAGTTTTTATTGTGGTCTAATTTAGATATAATAAAATGCATAGATCTTCCAGTATTTGGTTTGGCAAGTTTTGACAATTGTATACACACGTAACTATTCAAAATAAGATATAGACCATTTCCATCATTCCAGAAGATTCCCTCATGCTCCCTCCTGGTCAGTCTCCAGTCCCATCATCCTAGACGCAACAGCTGAGGTTTTCCACCACAGATTTGTTTTGCTTGTTCTAAAATTTCATCCAGGTTGTTCTGTGAAGCCACAGTTTCCTCCTTCTGATTGCTGCATGATGTTCCATTATGTGCATAATCCACACTCTCTTTAGCCAGACTCCTATCAATAGATACCTGGACTGCTTCCAATTTTGGACAACTATGAACAAAGCCATTATGAACATTCTTGTACAAATCTTTTTGTGAAGATATTTTTTTCATTTATCTTGGTGGAACTGCTAGGTAGGAGGGTAGGTGTGTGTTAGTCACGTAAGAAGCTATCAGGCTTAAAAAAAATAGTTGTACCATTTTATATTTCCACCAGCAGTATATAAGAATTCCAACTGATCCACAACCTGTGCTGTATTTGTGATGTTGTTAATTTTTCAATTTTCTGGTA